GTGGAGGCGCTGGAGGAAGCCCGGGGGTGGAGTGATGTATGAGAGAGACTGGATTCGAGGAGGGGACTGCTGATGATGAGCTGGCCCAACTGAGTACAGGAGTGTTGCGGGGCTTGGGCTTCGGGACTGCTTCCACTTGCAGCCTAGCGGGTGGCTGAGATACCGCTTGAGTGGTCACTGCAGGCTTTGCAACTGCCACAACTACTCAAGGGAGATCGGGGTCTCCTCATGCTTAACTTGTACTGGCGACAGGTTGGGGGATATGGGTGCCAGGAGTTGTGGGTCGGGACGGAGCGGGAGTGATGTGGCGGAAGGTAGATCTCAATATGTATTTGAGATCTGGACCTTTGGGATGCTGGACCTGTCTGATTGGCATGTAGTGTCCTTCCTCAGTAGTGATGGATTGAGGAGTGCAATTGGGGCACAGCTGTCAGTCACAATAGAAGAAAGAAGCTTTTGACCCATCATTTTCTGGGTTGTCATGCGAGACATCAACTTGTTCTTGTGTGTTGAATGTGTGCTCAAGTTGAGAACAGTCAAAGACATCGTCAGCCATGATGGGAGGGAGGAAGGGGAGGTGCACGTGCTACAAAAGGCCATACTAGCTAGCTTACACCTACGGTGCCCGAGATGACACTGAGGTTTGCAGTTTACGTGGGGTCCAGTACTGCTCTTGGCTAGTATGCAGCAGAAACCTAAGCCACGCGTCTGTTAGGACAAGTATCACCCACTGAAGTGCAGATACTGAAGAGTTCGTTCCTCAAGTGGTGGCCATTCATAGTATGCTACCTAAGTATTGTAAGGGTGCACACCACCTGACCTATAGGAAGTGAATGAATGGGGTATGAGTGAACACCGGCAGCAAGGGGAGTTTTGACCTAATGTCATGAATTAGGGTCAAGTGACAAGGAAGAACAAACAAACAGGCTGGGGACGTTCAACTGGGTTGACCGAAGCGATGGTGAGCACGCTCAAACCTAAGGCTAGGGACAAGATAATATATTAGTGAGGTAAAGAAAGAAATACAAAGGAGGCTTACTGACCTAGGGACAAGAGGTTGAAACTGAGGTCCCTAGGGAAGCAGAGGCTGGCTTATATACATGAAGAGTTTAGGGCAGGCTATGTATGTTGGTCCATGCGTGTCCGGCCTGTGCGTGCTTCCTGCTGATGTGGCCACAGGCTGATGTGTTATAGCAGTGGTATCAGTGGGGCCTGGGCTGTGCCATGTACTGCCATCCTATCTAATCTTATCTACAGGAGAACATGATATGGCAGCGGGACTTGTCCATTCGAGCATATAGTATAGAGGTTGTGGGTTCAAGCCTGCAAAAAGGAAAAATTAAAAAATGGCTAGATGCCATGTCAACTCATGACAATCAGCTTGGGAGCACTCAAATCTCCTGACAATGACACCACTCTGTACAGAACAGACAAGGAGAAAACACTATTTACCCACCACACAGGACCTGGGAAGACCTAGCCGTCCAATGTGCAGAGGAGGGCATTGGTGTTAGCATGTTCTTGAGCCAGAGCAGGCCCATTGATGTGACATCTGTTGGTGAGTGCAATATGCATCTTGGCATAGGTGTCTGTTGACTGTGCATCATGCATTTGCAGGTATTGTGTCATGGCTAACTGGCAGGGAGTTGTTCTTCCATCTGCACTTTGACCCTATGTGCAATGGCCCAGTCTTGCATTCACAGTTACACAAACTGCTAAGCCATACTATGGCATATTTGTGTGCCATGTGCATGCAATGCTCGAATAGTACGTGGCATGCAGCCTCCCATCAAACCAATATTGATACTCACATCCTATAAGCCTGCATGTGGAACAGCACTATGGCAATTTCTACAAGGGCCTGACATTGGACCTCATTTTCAGGATGTTCAATGTGGACAAGGCAATTTTGGTCTCTTTAGAGCACACAGGAATGCTCAACAACTTGATGTTCACGTTCCTACAGAGCACCGCATGCATGTGTGCAACATGGGTTTACAGGTGATGTTGCTATCTGGCAGTATCTTCTGGTACACTGACATGGAGGCAGTTGTGAGCCATGCAAAGGTCAGTTCTTGCCATGGTGTTGTGACTTGGGGTCAAGCGGCAGGGGAAAACCAAACAAAGGGATGCTGGGGGCGTTCAACTGATTCTCACTGAAGTGATGGTGAGCAGTGCTCAAACCTAAGGCTAGGGACAAGATAATATATTAGTCAGGTAGGAAAGGAATACAAGGGTGGCTTACTGACCTAGGGACAAGAGGTTGAAACTGAGGTCCCTAGGGCAGCAGAGGCCGGTTTATATACATGGGGGATTTAGGGCAGGCTGTGCTCGTTGGTCCGTGCGCAGCTGGTCTATGCGCAGCATTGCTGACACAGCCCCGGGGGCCGGTGAGTCAGTGCAGCTGTGTAAGCGGCACCCGGGCTGTGCCATGCACTGCCGCCCCATCTAATCTAATCATACAGAGATAGTGACTTCGTCTGTTCGAGCATATAGTACAGAGGTCGCGGGTTTGAGCCCGCATAAAGGAAAATATTAAAAAACGGCTAGATGCCATACCAACTCGTGACACATGGTGGCTCAGGTAATTAAGCATTCTCACAGCAGATGCAGGAGTGTCTCAGGTGTCCAGAGATTGAAACATTTGTCTTTCCGTTCTATTCCTTGTACTACTAGCGCCCATACTGGCGCCTGTCTTAGCGCTCACCCACAGGTTGAACATTATGTAGCTTATATAATGGGGTCCGTGCGCACTTCGTACTCGGCATCGTACCACTACGTTTCTTTCTTCACTAACACAACCACATAGACACGACAGTCCGTGCGCAGTCAGTACTTGTATAAGTAGTTGTACCATTAGTCGGTCGAACCCTAAGTTCGACCTGGTTATTCATTCAAGTCTCTGCTCCTCCTCGCTTGGGGTAGTGGTCATTCTCGACTTCCTTGCTTGATCTTCAGGACGACGTACTGTCCATAAGTTCTCGCTCATTGTCTACGAGTCAGGCATCAATATAGGAGTATAGACCATTGTATCAAAAGGTCGAACTTTCTAAGCTACATTCCTAGTTTTACCTAGTCGAACATCTCATCCACCATCACGTCGAACAACACAGTCAACCCAGTTCCTTTGGGACTACCAGCCCTCACAGGATCACCACTCCTCCAGTACGACCGAGCAGATCGCTGCTTCGTCACCTCCACAAAGAGGGCTCCCATATACCCTCGAGGTGGCACCTGGTGTCGTGCTACCGGTCCAAACCCGCAGGTCATCGCCCACCAAGAACTCGTTAGCTACTACCAGAGACACCCATCCGCTCATCCAGAAGATGTATTCACCATCCTACAGATCGACGTCGAACCTACACAAACAGCAGAAAGCGTGCAGTCACCCATCAATGAACAACCACTCGAACTCCCTGAAGTTCAGTACATTCCCATCGAAATCCCAGACATTGAACTACCACCAGCCCCACCCGCACCAACCAACGCACCGGTTGAAGTCCCTATGGCATTGTTCACCCAAGAAGACATTGATCAGCGCATCACTGTTGCCCTCGCAGCATACCAATCCCAACAGTCAACTGCCAACCGACCCCTTCGTCTTGACATCCCCGCTCCTGAACCTTTCAGCGGAAAGGCGGAGGACCTCAGACGCTTCATCCAATGCATCCTCTCCTACTTCGTCGCCACCAACAACACCCGACTCAGCGATGAAGCAAAGATCGCCTTCACTGTAGTGCTGATGAGGAAGGATCTGGGGAAAACATGGGTGGACGCGTATTACAAAAAGTCGGCAGGGGGAGTCCAGGTCTATTCCACTTGGGCAGACTTCGTTGCCGCTCTAGAAGAGGTGTTCCCTGAGCACGGAATGCGAATCAAGGCACATCAAATCCTGATGAAACTGCCCGAACGACAGAAGGATAGGAAGACAGCACTCTCCCTCGGTAACTACGTCACCCACTTCGAGCAGCTAGCATCAAAGGCTCAGCTCAAGGACGCCGAGGTCAATGGCACCAACCGCGTTGAGAACAACTACCACACTCTCCACACCAACTTTGTCAAAGGACTCCCGAAGGAGCTGTATTTTGCGCTCGCAACAA